CCCTCCAACACCCGCCTCACCCGCAAAGCACTCAGCATTGTAGGTGACTCCACCCACCCCTCCAACACCCGCCTCACCCGCAAAGCACTCAGCATTGTGGGTGACTCCACCCTCCCCTCCAACACCCGCCTCACCCGCAAAGCACTCAGCATTGTGGGTGACTCCACCCTCCCCTCCAACACCGCCTCACCCGCAAAGCACTCAGCATTGTGGGTGACTCCACCCACCCCTCCAACAGCCTCTTCAGCCTCCTGCCTTCAGGAAGAAGGTTCCTCAGCCTCAGCTCGCGCACCTCCAGGCTGAGGAACAGCTTCCTCCACCAGGCGGTCAGGATGCTGAACTCTCTCCCCTCCCTCCCTCTCTTCCGCCCTCTGACATCTCTCCCCTGAACTCTCCACCCTGCCACCGACCTTTCTCCCCTGCCCCAAATGGTCCTGGACTCTAACACCACACACACACACACACACACACACACACACACACACACACACACACACACACACACACACACACACACACACACACACACACACACACACACACACACACACACACACACACACACACACACACACACACACACACACACACACACACACACACACACACACACACACACACACACACACACACACACACCAGTTTTCTGCCCATCTCCGCTGCTACTGCACTGAAACTGTACTTTGAACACTTAAATTATATTATTAACATTTTAAACTGTATACCCCGGTTATCTAGGCCCTTTCTGTTTTTTGTTTGATGTATATATGTCACACTGTAGGACTGCGGGAAACGATATTTTGAGATTTCTGGATGTACAACATGTAGAATTCTTGACAATAAAGCTGACTTTGACTTACTGCTCAAACTCCTCTTTTGAAGCCCTGTTAGAGAAACGTAGATTTTGGGTCCTTAGCTTGAAAAAAATAAATAAGGAGGCGGAGCTAATGCCTGATCAGAATTCTACCGGAGATAAAGTTAAATTCGGTTGTGATAAAAAAACGCCATCCTGTTCTAAACCACGTCAAGGATTATTTCTGAAACAGTATGGAGCTCAAATGCTTTTTCTCTTGCAGGTTAATCACTAGGTGAGTTCTTTTTTTAATTCCTGCTTTTTAAACACATGTGCTCTTCAGTACAGGTTAGCTCTGAGTGTTAGCGAGGCTTGCTAATGTAAACAAAGACGTCCAAAACACGTCAGGCATTGTTTCTGATGGCAACTTTCTGTGGGTCCGCAGACATCACCTCGGATGGACACGTCAGTTCGGATGGAAATCTGTATCCGCTCGTTGTACACCTGTTTTTAAAAGATTTGGGTACGGAGGAAAAGAGAGAGGGTTTTATTTTCTGACGCTGCGTGTCCCACACCGGAGACACATATTTATGTATAAAAGACATCACAAAGTACATTTTGCATGATAGGTCCCCTTTAACGTCACAGCAGGCATAACAACAGCCGGTGTTTCTTGTGAGTGTTTCCCTGGGAAACAAACACAATACACACAAACGCGTCACAGATTCTTTGGCGGTATTTGGCTGCCGAACGAAATCATGTACGTAGCTTGCGACGTAACTAGGAGTCTAGTGGAAAGTATCAGTACTACAAGTAAAACATTTAAAAAAAAAAAATGTAATCTGAGGGCCGCAAAAAGGGGAGTTGGGGACCGCAATTTGCCCATCCCTGGTCTATACGATAGAGAACGTCACCGGATTCAACTGATATCGTCTCCGTGTGGACGGGGCCCAATTATTGGTTGATGACTCGCATTCAATACTGCAAGAGGATCAGAGAGACTGGAGCTCAATGGTTCTCTGGATGTGTTTTGGGTTGTTATCCTGAATGAGGTCTGTTTTAACGGTTTGTTCTATGACTTAAAATATGTCAGTAAATACCCCACTGGTGAATTTAAAAAACGTTTCTAACAAGTGTCTAAATAAGACGACTAAACGCCATCACGCCCAACATTAGCCTCCTTTAGCTTAGCGGTGGTGACGTGAAGTCATGTGACCGTGCTGTAGTTCCTTTATAGCCCAACATTAGCCACTTTTAGCTTAGCGGTGGTGACGTGAAGTCATGTGACCGTGCTGTAGTTCCTTTATAGCCCAACATTAGCCACCTTTAGCTTAGCGGTGGTGACGTGAAGTCATGTGACCGTGCTGTAGTTCCTTTATAGCCCAACATTAGCCACCTTTAGCTTAGCGGTGGTGACGTGAAGTCATGTGACCGTGCTGTAGTTCCTTTATAGCCCAACATTAGCCACCGTTAGCTTAGCGGTGGTGACGTGAAGTCATGTGACCGTGCTGTAGTTCCTTTATAGCCCAACATTAGCCTCCTTTAGCTTAGCGGTGGTGACGTGAAGTCATGTGACCGTGCTGTAGTTCCTTTATAGCCCAACATTAGCCTCCTTTAGCTTAGCGGTGGTGACGTGAAGTCATGTGACCGTGCTGTAGTTCCTTTATAGCCCAACATTAGCCTCCTTTAGCTTAGCGGTGGTGACGTGAAGTCATGTGACCGTGCTGTAGTTCCTTTATATCCCAACATTAGCCTCCTTTAGCTTAGCGGTGGTGACGTGAAGTCATGTGACCGTGCTGTAGTTCCTTTATAGCCCAACATTAGCCTCCTTTAGCTTAGCGGTGGTGACGTGAAGTCATGTGACCGTGCTGTAGTTCCTTTATAGCCCAACATTAGCTTCCTTTAGCTTAGCGGTGGTGACGTGAAGTCATGTGACCGTGCTGTAGTTCCTTTATATCCCAACATTAGCCACCTTTAGCTTAGCGGTGGTGACGTGAAGTCATGTGACCGTGCTGTAGTTCCTTTATATCCCAACATTAGCCACCTTTAGCTTAGCGGTGGTGACGTGAAGTCATGTGACCGTGCTGTAGTTCCTTTATAGCCCAACATTAGCCTCCTTTAGCTTAGCGGTGGTGACGTGAAGTCATGTGACCGTGCTGTAGTTCCTTTATATCCCAACATTAGCCACCTTTAGCTTAGCGGTGGTAACGTGAAGTCATGTGACCGTGCTGTAGTTCCTTTATAGCCCAACATTAGCCTCCTTTAGCTTAGCGGTGGTGACGTGAAGTCATGTGACCGTGCTGTAGTTCCTTTATAGCCCAACATTAGCCACTTTTAGCTTAGCGGTGGTGACGTGAAGTCATGTGACCGTGCTGTAGTTCCTTTATAGCCCAACATTAGCCACCTTTAGCTTAGCGGTGGTGACGTGAAGTCATGTGACCGTGCTGTAGTTCCTTTATAGCCCAACATTAGCCACCTTTAGCTTAGCGGTGGTGACGTGAAGTCATGTGACCGTGCTGTAGTTCCTTTATAGCCCAACATTAGCCACCGTTAGCTTAGCGGTGGTGACGTGAAGTCATGTGACCGTGCTGTAGTTCCTTTATAGCCCAACATTAGCCTCCTTTAGCTTAGCGGTGGTGACTTGAAGTCATGTGACCGTGCTGTAGTTCCTTTATAGCCCAACATTAGCCTCCTTTAGCTTAGCGGTGGTGACGTGAAGTCATGTGACCGTGCTGTAGTTCCTTTATAGCCCAACATTAGCCTCCTTTAGCTTAGCGGTGGTGACGTGAAGTCATGTGACCGTGCTGTAGTTCCTTTATATCCCAACATTAGCCTCCTTTAGCTTAGCGGTGGTGACGTGAAGTCATGTGACCGTGCTGTAGTTCCTTTATAGCCCAACATTAGCCTCCTTTAGCTTAGCGGTGGTGACGTGAAGTCATGTGACCGTGCTGTAGTTCCTTTATAGCCCAACATTATCTTCCTTTAGCTTAGCGGTGGTGACGTGAAGTCATGTGACCGTGCTGTAGTTCCTTTATATCCCAACATTAGCCACCTTTAGCTTAGCGGTGGTGACGTGAAGGCATGTAACCGTGCTGTAGTTCCTTTATATCCCAACATTAGCCACCTTTAGCTTAGCGGTGGTGACGTGAAGTCATGTGACCGTGCTGTAGTTCCTTTATAGCCCAACATTAGCCTCCTTTAGCTTAGCGGTGGTGACGTGAAGTCATGTGACCGTGCTGTAGTTCCTTTATATCCCAACATTAGCCACCTTTAGCTTAGCGGTGGTGACGTGAAGTCATGTGACCGTGCTGTAGTTCCTTTATAGCCCAACATTAGCCACCTTTAGCTTAGCGGTGGTGACGTGAAGTCATGTGACCGTGCTGTAGTTCCTTTATAGCCCAACATTAGCCACCTTTAGCTTAGCGGTGGTGACGTGAAGTCATGTGACCGTGCTGTAGTTCCTTTATAGCCCAACATTAGCCACCGTTAGCTTAGCGGTGGTGACGTGAAGTCATGTGACCGTGCTGTAGTTCCTTTATAGCCCAACATTAGCCTCCTTTAGCTTAGCGGTGGTGACGTGAAGTCATGTGACCGTGCTGTAGTTCCTTTATAGCCCAACATTAGCCTCCTTTAGCTTAGCGGTGGTGACGTGAAGTCATGTGACCGTGCTGTAGTTCCTTTATAGCCCAACATTAGCCTCCTTTAGCTTAGCGGTGGTGACGTGAAGTCATGTGACCGTGCTGTAGTTCCTTTATATCCCAACATTAGCCTCCTTTAGCTTAGCGGTGGTGACGTGAAGTCATGTGACCGTGCTGTAGTTCCTTTATAGCCCAACATTAGCCTCCTTTAGCTTAGCGGTGGTGACGTGAAGTCATGTGACCGTGCTGTAGTTCCTTTATAGCCCAACATTAGCTTCCTTTAGCTTAGCGGTGGTGACGTGAAGTCATGTGACCGTGCTGTAGTTCCTTTATATCCCAACATTAGCCACCTTTAGCTTAGCGGTGGTGACGTGAAGGCATGTGACCGTGCTGTAGTTCCTTTATATCCCAACATTAGCCACCTTTAGCTTAGCGGTGGTGACGTGAAGTCATGTGACCGTGCTGTAGTTCCTTTATAGCCCAACATTAGCCTCCTTTAGCTTAGCGGTGGTGACGTGAAGTCATGTGACCGTGCTGTATTCTTATTCTGACCATGTGTTTCTCTGCAGGAGTTGTATCTACGCCCTCCGGACTCGAGGTCAGCCGGTCCCTCTGGACATCGTCCTCTACGCAGCGGTGTTCTGCGCTCTGAACGGCTTCCTGCAGGCCCACAGCCTGCTGCACTGCACCGTCTACCCGCAGGACGCGCTGACGCAGGCCCGCATGGCTGCAGGTGGGACACACACCAGAGAGACAGTACACACATCCTGTACTCAAGTAGAAGTACAGATACTCGTGTTTAAAGATACTCTGGTGAAAGTAGAAGTACTGACTAAACTTCTTTACTCAAGTAGAAGTACACACATCCTGTACTCAAGTAGAAGTACACACATCCTGTACTCAAGTAGAAGTACAGATACTCGTGTTTAAAGATACTCTGGTGAAAGTAGAAGTACTGACTAAACTTCTTTACTCAAGTAGAAGTACACACATCCTGTACTCAAGTAGAAGTACACACATCCTGTACTCAAGTAGAAGTACACACATCCTTTACTCAAGTAGAAGTACACACATCCTTTACTCAAGTAGAAGTACACACATCCTTTACTCAAGTAGAAGTACACACATCCTTTACTCGAGTAGAAGTACAGATACTTGTGTTTAAAAATACTCTGGTGAAAGTAGAAGTACTGACTAAACTTCTTTACTCAAGTCAAAGTAAAGAGAGCTTTGAAATGTACTTCAGTAAAAAGTACCCATAACTAGCAGCTGTTTTAAAGAGTACCTGACCTCCCTTTATATTAATAGAACAATAATGTCATTGTTAGCTAATGAATGTTTCCATGCTGAACAACGGCAACATGACAACGTTTTCATTGGTCCCTCTTCTTTAGAGAAGACCAGGAAATGATGGATACACGGATCGTGTTCAAATCAATAGGCACGCAATGACTCTAAATAATAATGATCACGCCACCAAACACACATTCAAACTAAAGGAACCAGCCTGTTTGGGAAATGTGAGAAGTAGAAAGTACAGGTATTTGTGTTCAACATGTAAGAAGTAGAAAGTACAGGTATTTGTGTTCAACATGTAAGAAGTAGAAAGTACAGGTATTTGAGTTCAACATGTAAGAAGTAGAAAGTACAGGTATTTGGGTTCAACATGTAAGAAGTAGAAAGTACAGGTATTTGTGTTCAACATGTAAGAAGTAGAAAGTACAGGTATTTGTGTTCAACATGTAAGAAGTAGAAAGTACAGGTATTTGTGTTCAACATGTAAGAAGTAGAAAGTACAGGTATTTGTGTTCAACATGTAAGAAGTAGAAAGTACAGGTATTTGTGTTCAACATGTAAGAAGTAGAAAGTACAGGTATTTGTGTTCAACATGTAAGAAGTAGAAAGTACAGGTATTTGTGTTCAACATGTAAGAAGTAGAAAGTACAGGTATTTGTGTTCAACATGTAAGAAGTAGAAAGTACAGGTATTTGTGTTCAACATGTAAGAAGTAGAAAGTACAGGTATTTGTGTTCAACATGTAAGAAGTAGAAAGTACAGGTATTTGTGTTCAAAATGTAAGAAGTAGAAAGTACAGGTATTTGTGTTCAACATGTAAGAAGTAGAAAGTACAGGTATTTGTGTTCAACATGTAAGAAGTAGAAAGTACAGGTATTTGGGTTCAACATGTAAGAAGTAGAAAGTACAGGTATTTGGGTTCAACATGTAAGAAGTAGAAAGTACAGGTATTTGTGTTCAACATGTAAGAAGTAGAAAGTACAGGTATTTGGGTTCAACATGTAAGAAGTAGAAAGTACAGGTATTTGTGTTCAACATGTAAGAAGTAGAAAGTACAGGTATTTGGGTTCAAAGTGTAAGAAGTAGAAAGTACAGGTATTTGTGTTCAAAGTGTAAGAAGTAGAAAGTACAGGTATTTGTGTTCAAAATGTAAGAAGTAGAAAGTACAGGTATTTGTGTTCAACATGTAAGAAGTAGAAAGTACAGGTATTTGTGTTCAAAATGTAAGAAGTAGAAAGTACAGGTATTTGTGTTCAACATGTAAGAAGTAGAAAGTACAGGTATTTGTGTTCAAAATGTAAGAAGTAGAAAGTACAGGTATTTGTGTTCAACATGTAAGAAGTAGAAAGTACAGGTATTTGGGTTCAACATGTAAGAAGTAGAAAGTACAGGTATTTGTGTTCAACATGTAAGAAGTAGAAAGTACAGGTATTTGTGTTCAACATGTAAGAAGTAGAAAGTACAGGTATTTGTGTTCAACATGTAAGAAGTAGAAAGTACAGGTATTTGTGTTCAACATGTAAGAAGTAGAAAGTACAGGTATTTGTGTTCAACATGTGAGAAGTAGAAAGTACAGGTATTTGTGTTCAACATGTAAGAAGTAGAAAGTACAGGTATTTGTCTTCAACATGTAAGAAGTAGAAAGTACAGGTATTTGGGTTCAACATGTAAGAAGTAGAAAGTACAGGTATTTGTGTTCAACATGTAAGAAGTAGAAAGTACAGGTATTTGTGTTCAACATGTAAGAAGTAGAAAGTACAGGTATTTGTGTTCAACATGTAAGAAGTAGAAAGTACAGGTATTTGAGTTCAACATGTAAGAAGTAGAAAGTTCAGGTATTTGTGTTCAACATGTAAGAAGTAGAAAGTACAGGTATTTGTGTTCAACATGTAAGAAGTAGAAAGTACAGGTATTTGTGTTCAACATGTAAGAAGTAGAAAGTACAGGTATTTGTGTTCAACATGTAAGAAGTAGAAAGTACAGGTATTTGTGTTCAACATGTAAGAAGTAGAAAGTACAGGTATTGTGTTCAAAATGTAAGAAGTAGAAAGTACAGGTATTGTGTTCAACATGTAAGAAGTAGAAAGTACAGGTATTTGTGTTCAACATGTAAGAAGTAGAAAGTACAGGTATTTGGGTTCAACATGTAAGAAGTAGAAAGTACAGGTATTTGGGTTCAACATGTAAGAAGTAGAAGTACAGGTATTTGTGTTCAAAATGTAAGAAGTAGAAAGTACAGGTATTTGTGTTCAACATGTAAGAAGTAGAAAGTACAGGTATTTGGGTTCAACATGTAAGAAGTAGAAAGTACAGGTATTTGTGTTCAACATGTAAGAAGTAGAAAGTACAGGTATTTGTGTTCAACATGTAAGAAGTAGAAAGTACAGGTATTTGTGTTCAACATGTGAGAAGTAGAAAGTACAGGTATTTGTGTTCAACATGTAAGAAGTAGAAAGTACAGGTATTTGTGTTCAACATGTAAGAAGTAGAAAGTACAGGTATTTGTGTTCAAAGTGTAAGAAGTAGAAAGTACAGGTATTTGTGTTCAAAGTGTAAGAAGTAGAAAGTACAGGTATTTGTGTTCAAAATGTAAGAAGTAGAAAGTACAGGTATTTGAGTTCAACATGTAAGAAGTAGAAAGTACAGGTATTTGTGTTCAACATGTGAGAAGTAGAAAGTACAGGTATTTGTGTTCAACATGTAAGAAGTAGAAAGTACAGGTATTTGTGTTCAACATGTAAGAAGTAGAAAGTACAGGTATTTGTGTTCAAAGTGTAAGAAGTAGAAAGTACAGGTATTTGTGTTCAACATGTGAGAAGTAGAAAGTACAGGTATTTGGGTTCAACATGTAAGAAGTAGAAAGTACAGGTATTTGTGTTCAACATGTAAGAAGTAGAAAGTACAGGTATTTGTGTTCAAAGTGTAAGAAGTAGAAAGTACAGGTATTTGTGTTCAACATGTAAGAAGTAGAAAGTACAGGTATTTGTGTTCAACATGTAAGAAGTAGAAAGTACAGGTATTTGGGTTCAACATGTAAGAAGTAGAAAGTACAGGTATTTGTGTTCAAAATGTAAGAAGTAGAAAGTACAGGTATTTGTGTTCAACATGTAAGAAGTAGAAAGTACAGGTATTTGTGTTTCTTACAAGCTGAATTGTCAGGGTGAGTGCAGGCAGGACCCAAATGCAGATTTCACAGAAAATACCTTTAATTAAAGGTTAAATAGTACAAACAGAACACTTCCCCGTAAACACAGTCAAAGACAAACAAGGATCTAACAATGACAGACAAAAAAACCAGAACTTAAATACACACAAGACTAATCAAAGAAACAAGAGACAGGTGAGGAGGGAGGAGAAAACACAGGGGCACCAGGTGAACACAATCAGGTAATCAGGCAGGAGGGAACACAGACAGGAAGCAACAGGCAAGACAGGGGGTGAACACTTTTCAAAATAAAACAGGAAACCAAAGACAGATATAGACAAGACAAAACACAACACAGACAGATCGTGACATGAATAGCGTATGTTAGCTATTGAACTAGCTATCTCCAAATTGCCTCTCATATTGTAAATGTTATTTAATATTATATAATCCTTATTTGATGTACGTCACTAAGGTTTTGTGCACTGACAGGCTCACAGTGCCTGAAGATGTTTGTTTTGGTTTCCTCTGGGGTCCGGTTGCTTTATACCTATTCCAGATGTGGAATGTATGATTATATAACTCCACATGTGTGACCCTTTCCCAACCTCCTGTTAGAGACCACAGAACAAGGAGAGTGTGCAGAAACACTGGGATGTACACTAATCTGAAAATAATAATACCTTTAAAAACACACAAAACACCATTAACCACCACTATCAGCCTGAACCATTGATACGAGGCAGGATGGATCCATACCGTCCGGATGTCCCAGCAGAATTCCAGACTCATCAGACCAGGCAACATTTTTACAATCTTCTATTCTCCAGTCTTAGTGAACCCGTCCGAACTGTAACAGGAGGAGGGGTATCCGGGGGTCTTCTGCTGCTGTAGCCTCAGAGTCCTGTTCCTATCTGACAGGAGGGGTACCCGGGGGGTATCCTGCTGCTCCAGCCTCAGTTTCCTGTTCCTATCTGACAGGAGGGGTACCCGGGGGGTCTTCTGCTGCTGTAGCCTCAGAGTCCTGTTCCTATCTGACAGGAGGGGTGCCGGGGGGTCTTCTGCTGCTGTAGCCCATCTGCTTCAGGTTGTGGATCAGAGATGGTCTTCTTTAACCAGTGGTTATTTGAGTTATTGTTGCCTTTCTATCATCTTGAACCAGTCTGGCCAGTCTCCTCTGACCTCTGGCCTCAACAAGGCCTTCTCTCCAGAGTCCTGCCGCTCACTCGATGCTATAGTCAGTCCAATTAAAAGCGTCCGTGAGGGTCTTAATACGGGAAGATAAACACTTTGACACGCTCAAACCATCGCTCCACTCTTTCTGTTTCGTTTGACCATTTATTGCAGGAATAAACAAGCAAAACATCCAATATATCCAGGTGCCGATAACCTTAAGTGCGATAACGATGCCACTGATGGTTAAGGATATTGCGGTGGAAAAATGTTGCAGGATTTCAGTATAAATGTGCGGTCCACAGAAGGTTTGGCCCCGCCTCTCTTTCCATACAGAACCACAGTGAGCAGGTGAGCCAGGTTCAACAACCACTAACCCCAGAGCACACCACCAATAATACGTAGAGAATACCACGTCATAAATAGAAACACATACACCTTAAAGGTGGGGTAGGTACGTTTGAGAAACCGGCTCAAGATACACTTGTTGTTATATTCCATGGAATGCTCTTAACATCCCGATAGCAATGAATATCTGAAGTGCTTTGACAAAAAATCCATTAAAATATCTCATCTGTGGAAGCTGTAGTACTGTAAAAAGCACGACCAATCATCTGAGCCGGCCCGGCTAAAATAACTGGATGGCCTACCTGCCTGTCAGCCTTCCATCTGTGCACAAACTTATCTCGTGCCCTCATTGGTCATGTGCGCGTTCGTGTGTGTTGGAGGAGGGGCTCTGTGAGGAAGTGGCAGAGTTTTTCCGGCTGTGTATTTTCAAATTCTAGCGATCTCGAGCTGGTTTCTCAAACTTACCTACACCACCTTTAAATGTGGCTCCTGGATATTACATTATGTTTAATATATTATGTTGTGTCTTTTATTCTGAAGGTTTCCTGCTCTTCCTGTTCGGGATGATCATCAACATCCACAGCGACGACATCCTGCGGAAACTACGGAGACCCGGAGAGACCGTGTACCGCATCCCCCACGGTCAGAACCAGAATCTGAATCAGAACCAGAACTTGAACCAAAACCACAATAAGAACCAGAACCAGAATCTGAATTAGAACTAAAACCAGAGTCTGAACCAGGATCAGAATCAGAACCAGTACCAGAACCAGAACCAAAACCACAATAAGAACCAGAATCAGAATGAGAGCCAGAACTAAAACCAGAACCAGGATCAGAATCAGAATCAAAATCAAAATCTGAACCAGATTCAGAACCTCCTCTCTCTGATGGTTCAGGTGTGTCTCTAACTCTGATGGTTCAGGTGTGTCTCTAACTCTGATGATTCAGGTGTGTCTCTAACTCTGATGGTTCAGGTGTGTCTCTAACTCTGATGGTTCAGGTGTGTCTCTAACTCTGATGGTTCAGGTGTGTCTCTAACTCTGTTTCCTGCCAGGTGGTCTGTTTGAGTTTGTCTCCGGCGCTAACTTCCTCGGGGAGATCCTGGAATGGATCGGGTTCGCCATCGCCGCCGGGTCCTTCCCCGCCTTCGCCTTCGCCTTCTTCACTGTCTGCTCCATTGGGCCCCGGGCCTGCCAGCACCACAGGTACTGCTTCAATACCAGCACCACAGGTACTGGTTCAATATACCAGGTACTGGTTCAATATACCAGGTACTGCTTCAATACCAGGTACTGCTTCAATACCAGGTACTGCTTCAATACCAGGTACTGCTTCAATACCAGGTACTGCTTCAATACCAGGTACTGCTTCAATACCAGGTACTGCTTCAATACCAGGTACTGCTTCAATACCAGGTACTGCTTCAATACCAGGTACTGCTTCAATACCAGGTACTGGTTTAATACCAGGTACTGCTTCAATACCAGGTACTGCTTCAATACCAGGTACTGCTTCAATACCAGGTACTGCTTCAATACCAGGTACTGGTTTAATACCAGGTACTGCTTCAATACCAGGTACTGGTTCAATACCAGGTACTGCTTCAATACCAGGTACTGGTTTAATACCAGGTACTGCTTCAAAACCAGGTACTGCTTCAATACCAGGTACTGCTTCAATACCAGGTACTGCTTCAATACCAGGTACTGCTTCAATACCAGGTACTGCTTCAAAACCAGGTACTGCTTCAATACCAGGTACTGCTTCAATACCAGGTACTGCTACAAGTACTGCTTCAATACCAGGTACTGCTCCAAGTACTGCTTCAATACCAGGTACTGGTTCAATACCAGGTACTGCTCCAAGTACTGCTTCAATACCAGGTACTGGTTTAATACCAAGTACTGCTTCAATACCAGGTACTGGTTCAATACCAGGTAATGCTTCAATACCAGGTACTGCTTCAATACCAGGTACTGGTTTAATACCAGGTACTGGTTTAATACCAGGTACTGCTTCAATACCAGGTACTGCTCCAAGTACTGCTTCAATACCAGGTACTGGTTTAATACCAGGTACTGCTTCAATACCAGGTACTGCTTCAATACCAGGTACTGGTTCAATACCAGGTACTGCTTCAATACCAGGTACTGGTTTAATACCAGGTACTGCTTCAATACCAGGTACTGCTTCAATACCAGGTACTGCTTCAATACCAGGTACTGCTTCAATACCAGGTACTGGTTTAATACCAGGTACTGCTTCAATACCAGGTACTGCTCCAAGTACTGCTTCAATACCAGGTACTGGTTTAATACCAGGTACTGCTTCAATACCAGGTACTGCTTCAATACCAGGTACTGGTTCAATACCAGGTACTGCTTCAATACCAGGTACTGGTTTAATACCAGGTACTGCTCCAAGTACTGCTTCAATACCAGGTACTGGTTTAATACCAGGTACTGCTCCAAGTACTGCTTCAATACCAGGTACTGGTTTAATACCAGGTACTGCTTCAATACCAGGTACTGCTCCAAGTACTGCTTCAATACCAGGTACTGGTTTAATACCAGGTACTGCTTCAATACCAGGTACTGCTTCAATACCAGGTACTGGTTTAATACCAGGTACTGCTTCAATACCAGGTACTGCTTCAATACCAGGTACTGCTTCAATACCAGGTACTGCTTCAATACCAGGTACTGCTTCAATACAGGTACTGCTTCAATACCAGGTACTTGCTTCAATACCAGGTACTGGTTCAATACCAGTACTGCTTCAATACCAGGTACTGGTTTAATACCAGGTACTGCTTCAATACCAGGGTACTGCTCCAAGTACTGCTTCAATACCAGGTACTGGGTTTAATACCAGGTACTGCTTCAATACCAGGTACTGGTTTAATACCAGGTACTGCTTCAATACCAGGTACTGCTTCAATACCAGGTACTGGTTTAATACCAGGTACTGCTCCAAGTACTGCTTCAATACCAGGTACTGGTTTAATACCAGGTACTGCTTCAATACCAGGTACTGGTTTAATACCAGGTACAGGTTCAATACCAGGTACTGGTTTAATACCAGGTGCTGCTTTCAAATACCAGGTACTGTTTAATACCAGGTACTGCTTCAATACCAGGTACTGGTTTAATACTAGGTACTGCTTCAATACCAGGTACAGGTTCAATACCAGGTACTGCTTCAATAACCAGGTACTGGTTAATACCAGGTACTGCTTCAATACCAGGTACAGGTTCAATACCAGGTACAGGTTCAATACCAGGTACTGCTTCAATACCAGGTACTGGTTTAATACCAGGTACTGCTTCAATACCAGGTACTGGTTCAATACCAGGTACTGCTTCAATACCAGGTACTGCTTCAATACCAGGTACTGGTTTAATACCAGGTACTGCTTCAATACCAGGTACTGCTTCAATACCAGGTACTGCTTCAATACCAGGTACTGCTACAAGTACTGCTTCAATACCAGGTACTGCTCCAAGTACTGCTTCAATACCAGGTACTGGTTCAATACCAGGTACTGCTTCAATACCAGGTAATGCTTCAATACCAGGTACTGCTTCAATACCAGGTACTGGTTTAATACCAGGTACTGGTTTAATACCAGGTACTGCTTCAATACCAGGTACTGCTCCAAGTACTGCTTCAATACCAGGTACTGGTTTAATACCAGGTACTGCTTCAATACCAGGTACTGCTTCAATACCAGGTACTGGTTCAATACCAGGTACTGCTTCAATACCAGGTACTGGTTTAATACCAGGTACTGCTTCAATACCAGGTACTGCTTCAATACCAGGTACTGCTTCAATACCAGGTACTGGTTTAATACCAGGTACTGCTTCAATACCAGGTACTGGTTCAATACCAGGTACTGCTTCAATACCAGGTACTGGTTTAATACCAGGTACTGCTTCAAAACCAGGTACTGCTTCAATACCAGGTACTGCTTCAATACCAGGTACTGCTTCAATACCAGGTACTGCTTCAATACCAGGTACTGCTTCAAAACCAGGTACTGCTTCAATACCAGGTACTGCTTCAATACCAGGTACTGCTACAAGTACTGCTTCAATACCAGGTACTGCTCCAAGTACTGCTTCAATACCAGGTACTGGTTCAATACCAGGTACTGCTCCAAGTACTGCTTCAATACCAGGTACTGGTTTAATACCAAGTACTGCTTCAATACCAGGTACTGGTTCAATACCAGGTAATGCTTCAATACCAGGTACTGCTTCAATACCAGGTACTGGTTTAATACCAGGTACTGGTTTAATACCAGGTACTGCTTCAATACCAGGTACTGCTCCAAGTACTGCTTCAATACCAGGTACTGGTTTAATACCAGGTACTGCTTCAATACCAGGTACTGCTTCAATACCAGGTACTGGTTCAATACCAGGTACTGCTTCAATACCAGGTACTGGTTTAATACCAGGTACTGCTTCAATACCAGGTACTGCTTCAATACCAGGTACTGCTTCAATACCAGGTACTGCTTCAATACCAGGTACTGGTTTAATACCAGGTACTGCTTCAATACCAGGTACTGCTCCAAGTACTGCTTCAATACCAGGTACTGGTTTAATACCAGGTACTGCTTCAATACCAGGTACTGCTTCAATACCAGGTACTGGTTCAATACCAGGTACTGCTTCAATACCAGGTACTGGTTTAATACCAGGTACTGCTCCAAGTACTGCTTCAATACCAGGTACTGGTTTAATACCAGGTACTGCTCCAAGTACTGCTTCAATACCAGGTACTGGTTTAATACCAGGTACTGCTTCAATACCAGGTACTGCTCCAAGTACTGCTTCAATACCAGGTACTGGTTTAATACCAGGTACTGCTTCAATACCAGGTACTGCTTCAATACCAGGTACTGGTTTAATACCAGGTACTGCTTCAATACCAGGTACTGCTTCAATACCAGGTACTGCTTCAATACCAGGTACTGCTTCAATACCAGGTACTGCTTCAATACCAGGTACTGCTTCAATACCAGGTACTGCTTCAATACCAGGTACTGGTTCAATACCAGGTACTGCTTCAATACCAGGTACTGGTTTAATACCAGGTACTGCTTCAATACCAGGTACTGCTCCAAGTACTGCTTCAATACCAGGTACTGGTTTAATACCAGGTACTGCTTCAATACCAGGTACTGGTTTAATACCAGGTACTGCTTCAATACCAGGTACTGCTTCAATACCAGGTACTGGTTTAATACCAGGTACTGCTCCAAGTACTGCTTCAATACCAGGTACTGGTTTAATACCAGGTACTGCTTCAATACCAGGTACTGGTTTAATACCAGGTACAGGTTCAATACCAGGTACTGGTTTAATACCAGGTACTGCTTCAATACCAGGTACTGGTTTAATACCAGGTACTGCTTCAATACCAGGTACTGGTTTAATACCAGGTACTGCTTCAATACCAGGTACTGGTTTAATACCAGGTACTGCTTCAATACCAGGTACTGGTTTAATACCAGGTACTGCTTCAATACCAGGTACAGGTTCAATACCAGGTACAGGTTCAATACCAGGTACTGCTTCAATACCAGGTACTGGTTTAATACCAGGTACTGCTTCAATACCAGGTACTGGTTCAATACCAGGTATGCTTCAATACCAGTACTGTTCAATACCAGGTACTGCTTCAATACCAGGGTACTGCTCAATACCAGGTACTGGTTTAATACCAGTACTGCTTCAATACCAGGTACTGCTTCAATACCAGGTACTGCTTCAATACCAGGTACTGCTACAAGTACTGCTTCAATACCAGGTACTGCTCCAAGTACTGCTTCAATACCAGGTACTGGTTCAATACCAGGTACTGCTTCAATACCAGGTAATGCTTCAATACCAGGTACTGCTTCAATACCAGGTACTGGTTTAATACCAGGTACTGGTTTAATACCAGGTACTGCTTCAATACCAGGTACTGCTCCAAGTACTGCTTCAATACCAGGTACTGGTTTAATACCAGGTACTGCTTCAATACCAGGTACTGCTTCAATACCAGGTACTGGTTCAATACCAGGTACTGCTTCAATACCAGGTACTGGTTTAATACCAGGTACTGCTTCAATACCAGGTACTGCTTCAATACCAGGTACTGCTTCAATACCAGGTACTGGTTTAATACCAGGTACTGCTTCAATACCAGGTACTGCTCCAAGTACTGCTTCAATACCAGGTACTGGTTTAATACCAGGTACTGCTTCAATACCAGGTACTGCTTCAATACCAGGTACTGGTTCAATACCAGGTACTGCTTCAATACCAGGTACTGGTTTAATACCAGGTACTGCTCCAAGTACTGCTTCAATACCAGGTACTGGTTAATACCAGGTACTGCTTCAATACCAGGTACTGGTTTAATACCAGGTACAGGTTCAATACCAGGTACTGGTTTAATACCAGGTACTGCTTCAATACCAGGTACTGGTTTAATACCAGGTATGCTTCAATACCAGGTACTGGTTTAATACCAGGTACTGCTTCAATACCAGGTACTGGTTTAATACCAGGTACTGCTTCAATACCAGGTACTGGTTTAATACCAGGTACTGCTTCAATACCAGGTACAGGTTCAATACCAGGTACAGGTTCAATACCAGGTACTGCTTCAATACCAGGTACTGGTTTAATACCAGGTACTGCTTCAATACCAGGTACTGGTTCAATACCAGGTACTGCTTCAATACCAGGTACTGCTTCAATACCAGGTACTGGTTTAATACCAGGTACTGCTTCAATACCAGGTACTGCTTCAATACCAGGTACTGCTTCAATACCAGGTACTTTAAGACCAGTATGCTTCAATACCAGGTACTGGTTTAATACCATGTACTGCTTCAATACCAGGTACTGGTTTAATACCAGGTACTGGTTCAATACCAGGTACTGGTTTAATACCAGGTACTGCTTCAATACCAGGTACTGGTTTAATACCAGGTACTGCTTCAATACCAGGTACTGCTTCAATACCAGGTACTGCTTTCAATACCAGGTACTGCTTAATACCGGTACTGTTAATACCAGGTACTGGCTTTAATACCAGGTACCTGCTTCAATACCAGGTACTGCTTCAATACAGGTACATGGTTCAATACCCAGGTACTGCTTCAATACCAGGTACTGCTTCAATACCAGTACTGTTTCAATACCAGGTACTGGTTTAATACCAGGTACTGGTTTAATACCAGGTACTGCTTCAATACCAGGTACTGTTTCAATACCAGGTACTGCTTCAATACCAGGTACTAGCTTCAATACCAGGTACTGGCTTTAAATACCAGGTACTTGCTTCAATACCAGGTACTGCTTCAATACCAGGTACTGGTTTAATACCAGGTACTGCTTCAATACCAGGTACTGCTTCAATACCAGGTACTGGTTTAATACCAGGTACTGCTTCAATACCAGGTACTGCTTCAATACCAGGTACTGGTTCAATACCAGGTACTGCTTCAATACCAGGTACTGCTTCAATACCAGGTACTGGTTTAATACCAGGTACTGCTTCAATACCAGGTACTGGTTTAATACCAGGTACTGCTTCAATACCAGGTACTGCTTCAATACCAGGTACTGCTTCAATACCAGGTACTGCTTCAATACCAGGTACTGGTTTAATACCAGGTACTGCTTCAATACCAGGTACTGCTTCAATACCAGGTACTGCTTCAATACCAGGTACTGGTTTAATACCAGGTACTGCTCCAAGTACTGCTTCAATACCAGGTACTGGTTTAATACCAGGTACTGCTTCAATACCAGGTACTGCTCCAAGTACTGCTTCAATACCAGGTACTGGTTTAATACCAGGTACTGCTTCAATACCAGGTACTGCTTCAATACCAGGTACTGGTTTAATACCAGGTACTGCTTCAATACCAGGTACTGGTTCAATACCAGGTACTGCTTCAATACCAGGTACTAGTTTAATACCAGGTACTGCTCCAAGTACTGCTTCAATACCAGGTACTGGTTTAATACCAGGTACTGCTTCAATACCAGGTACTGGTTTAATACCAGGTACAGGTTCAATACCAGGTACTGGTTTAATACCAGGTACTGCTTCAATACCAGGTACTGGTTTAATACCAGGTACTGCTTCAATACCAGGTACTGGTTTAATACCAGGTACTGCTTCAATACCAGGTACTGGTTTAATACCAGGTACTGCTTCAATACCAGGTACTGGTTTAATACCAGGTACTGCTTCAATACCAGGTACAGGTTCAATACCAGGTACAGGTTCAATACCAGGTACTGCTTCAATACCAGGTACTGGTTTAATACCAGGTACTGCTTCAATACCAGGTACTGGTTCAATACCAGGTACTGCTTCAATACTAGGTACTGCTTCAATACCAGGTACTGGTTTAATACCAGGTACTGCTTCAATACCAGGTACTGCTTCAATACCAGGTACTGTAATACCAGGTACTGTAATACCAGGTACTGCTTCAATACCAGGTACTGCTTCAATACCAGGTTACTGGTTTCAATACCAGGTACTGCTTCAATACCAGGTACTTGCTTCAATACCAGGTACTGCTTCAATGACCAGGTACTGCTTCAATACCAGGTACTGGCTTTAATACCAGGTACTGCTTCATACCAGGTATGGTTTAATTACCAGGTTACTGATTCATACCAGGTACTGCTTCACTACCAGGTACTGCTTTCAATACCAGGTACTGCTTCAATACCAGGTACTGGTTTAATACAGGTACTGGTTTAATACCAGGTACTGGTTTAATACCAGGTACTGCTTCAATACCAGGTACTGCTTCAATACCAGGTACTGGTTCAATACCAGGTACTGCTTCAATACCAGGTACTGCTTCAATACCAGGTACTGGTTTAATACCAGGTACTGCTTCAATACCAGGTACTGCTTCAATACCAGGTACTGCTTCAATACCAGGTACTGGTTTAATACCAGGTACTGCTTCAATACCAGGTACTGCTTCAATACCAGGTACTGCTTCAATACCAGGTACTGCTTCAATACCAGGTACTGGTTTAATACCAGGTACTGCTTCAATACCAGGTACTGGTTTAATACCAGGTACTGCTTCAATACCAGGTACTGCTTCAATACCAGGTACTGCTTCAATACCAGGTACTGCTTCAATACCAGGTACTGGTTTAATACCAGGTACTGCTTCAATACCAGGTACTGGTTTAATACCAGGTACTGCTTCAATACCAGGTACTGCTTCAATACCAGGTACTGCTTCAATACCAGGTACTGCTTCAATACCAGGTACTGGTTTAATACCAGGTACTGCTTCAATACCAGGTACTGGTTTAATACCAGGTACTGCTTCAATACCAGGTACTGCTTCAATACCAGGTACTGGTTTAATACCAGGTACTGACTTCAATACCAGGTACTGCTTCAATACCAGGTACTGGTTTAATACAGGTACTGCTTCATACCAGGTACTGCTTCAATACCAGGTACTGGTTTAATACCAGGTACTGCTTCAATACCAGGTACTGGTTTAATACCAGGTACTGCTTCAATACCAGGTACTGCTTCAATACCAGGTACTGCTTCAATACCAGGTACTGGTTTAATACCAGGTACTGCTTCAATACCAGGTACTGGTTTAATACCAGGTACTGCTTCAATACCAGGTACTGCTTCAATACCAGGTACTGGTTTAATACCAGGTACTGCTTCAATACCAGGTACTGCTTCAATACCAGGTACTGCTTCAATACCAGGTACTGCTTCAATACCAGGTACTGCTTCAATACCAGGTACTGCTTCAATACCAGTAACACAGGTACACTTACTGGTGATATAACTGATGACTTATTGTTGTGTTTTATTTGTTTACTTGTGTATTTTGACTTATATGAATGTGTTTGTGTTTGCAGAGATTACCTGAAGAGGTTTGAGGACTACCCTCGCTGCAGGAGAGCGATCATCCCCTTCCTCCTCTGAGCTACTCATTACCTTAATGTTCATCTCCACCTCTCGTCTTCCTTCAGACTGAATCATCTATCTCTGTCTCTTCATCTCCTAATAAATAACAAAGGTGTTGTAAAACTTTATAGAAATATATATTTAAACACTGAGAACTCAAACATTTCACATTTTAATGAATCCCTTTCATTTAAATCATCTTTATTCTGTATTATCTTGTAAATATTGAACGATACGTGTGTTTCTCCTGTTGCATCTACAGCTTTAGTCTCAACAACATATAATAACTCACATGCTATACTCTTATAGATTTACCTTCTTCACTTGCTGCAATAATAAAGTGTAATATGTGACGTTTTTATTGATATTTTACATGATATTCAATACATAAAGAAACCCTGCAGACCAACTGATCCACTGATCCACTGACCAACTGACCAACTGATCCACTGACCCACTGACCCACTGACCAACTGATCCACTGACCCACTGATCCACTGATCCACTGACCAACTGACCCACTGATCCACTGACCAACTGATCCACTGATCCACTGACCCACTGACCAACTGATCCACTGACCAACTGATCCACTGACCCACTGATCCACTGACCCACTGATCCACTGACCCACTGATCCACTGACCCACTGACCCACTGATCCACTGACCAACTGATCCACTGACCAACTGATCCACTGACCAACTGATCCACTGACCCACTGATCCACTGATCCACTGACCCACTGATCCACTGACCCACTGACCCACTGATCCACTGATCAACTGATCCACTGACCAACTGATCCACTGACCCACTGATCCACTGACCAACTGATCCACTGACCAACTGATCCACTGATCCACTGACCCACTGACCAACTGATCCACTGACCAACTGATCCACTGACCCACTGATCCACTGATCCACTGACCCACTGACCAACTGATCCACTGACCAACTGACCCACTGATCCACTGACCCACTGACCAACTGATCCACTGACCAACTGATCCACTGACCCACTGATCCACTGACCCACTGACCAACTGATCCACTGACCAACTGATCCACTGACCCACTGATCCACTGACCCACTGATCCACTGATCAACTGATCCACTGACCAACTGATCCACTGATCCAGTGATCCACTGACCAACTGATCCACTGACCAACTGATCCACTGACCCACTGATCCAGTGATCCACTGACCAACTGATCCACTGACCAACTGATCCACTGATCCAGTGATCCACTGACCAACTGATCCACTGATCAACTGATCCACTGACCCACTGACAAACTGACCCACTGACCAACTGACCCACTGATCCACTGATCAACTGATCCACTGACCAACTGATCCACTGATCCACTGACCAACTGATCCACTGATCAACTGACCAACTGATCCACTGATCCATGACCAACTGATCAACTGATCCACTGATCAACTGATCCACTGATCAACTGATCCACTGATCCACTGATCAACTGATCCACTGACCAACTGATCCACTGACCCACTGATCCACTGACCCACTGATCCACTGATCCACTGACCAACTGATCAACTGATCCACTGATCCACTGACCCACTGATCCACTGACCAACTGATCCACTGACCCACTGATCCACTGATCCACTGATCCACTGACCAACTGATCCACTGACCAACTGATCCACTGACCCACTGATCCACTGACCAACTGATCCACTGATCCACTGACCAACTGATCCACTGATCCACTGACTGACTGATCCACTGATCCACTGATCCACTGACCGACTGATCAACTGATCCACTGACCAACTGATCCACTGATCCACTGACCCACTGATCCACTGACCCACTGATCCACTGACCGACTGATCCACTGACCAACTGATCCACTGATCCACTGACCAACTGATCCACTGATCCACTGACCGACTGATCCACTGACCAACTGATCCACTGATCCACTGACCAACTGACCAACTGATCCACTGATCCACTGACCGACTGATCCACTGATCCACTGACCCACTGACCAACTGACCAACTGATCCACTGATCCACTGATCCACTGATCCACTGATCAACTGATCCACTGATCCACTGACCAACTGATCCACTGATCCACTGACCAACTGATCCACTGACCCACTGATCCACTGACCCACTGACCGACTGATCCACTGACCGACTGATCCACTGATCCACTGACCGACTGATCCACTGATCCACTGACCGACTGATCCACTGACCGACTGACCGACTGATCCACTGACCCACTGATCCACTGATCCACTGACCAACTGATCCACTGATCCACTGACTGACTGATCCACTGATCCACTGACCCACTGACCAACTGATCCACTGATCCACTGACTGACTGATCCACTGATCCACTGATCCACTGATCCACTGACCAACTGACCAACTGATCCACTGATCCACTGACCGACTGATCCACTGATCCACTGACCCACTGACCAACTGACCAACTGATCCACTGATCCACTGATCCACTGATCCACTGATCCACTGATCAACTGATCCACTGATCCACTGACCAACTGATCCACTGATCCACTGACCAACTGATCCACTGACCCACTGATCCACTGACCCACTGACCGACTGATCCACTGACCGACTGATCCACTGATCCACTGACCGACTGATCCACTGATCCACTGACCGACTGATCCACTGACCGACTGACCGACTGATCCACTGACCCACTGATCCACTGATCCACTGACCGACTGATCCACTGATCCACTGACTGACTGATCCACTGATCCACTGACCGACTGATCAACTGATCCACTGACCAACTGATCCACTGATCCACTGACCCACTGATCCACTGACCCACTGATCCACTGACCGACTGATCCACTGACCAACTGATCCACTGATCCACTGACCAACTGACCAACTGATCCACTGATCCACTGACCGACTGATCCACTGATCCACTGACCCACTGACCAACTGACCAACTGATCCACTGATCCACTGATCCACTGATCCACTGATCAACTGATCCACTGACCAACTGATCCACTGATCCACTGACCAACTGATCCACTGACCCACTGATCCACTGACCCACTGACCCACTGACCGACTGATCCACTGACCGACTGATCCACTGATCCACTGACCGACTGATCCACTGATCCACTGACCGACTGATCCACTGACCGACTGACCGACTGATCCACTGACCCACTGATCCACTGACCAACTGATCCACTGATCCACTGACCGACTGATCCACTGACCGACTGATCCACTGATCCACTGACCAACTGATCCACTGACCAACTGATCCACTGATCCACTGACCAACTGATCCACTGATCCACTGACCAACTGATCCACTGATCCACTGACCAACTGACCGACTGATCCACTGACCGACTGACCGACTGATCCACTGACCAACTGATCCACTGATCCACTGACCGACTGACCGACTGATCCACTGATCCACTGACCGACTGACCGACTGATCCATTGACCGACTGATCCACTGACCGACTGACCGACTGATCCACTGACCCACTGATCCACTGACCCACTGACCGACTGATCCACTGACCCACTGATCCACTGATCCACTGATCCACTGATCAATTGATCGACTGTGTAACAGCAGGAATCTGTCTAACCTGTGAATATTTCCATCAGGATGAATCTTCCTGTTTTTAAAGGGATTTTGAATGTGTATGTTTTATGCTTATTTTATATTTCTAAAAACACCTGCTCTGCTTCTTTTGTACAAAGAGAAAAACAATGATTGTTTAGGTGCACCTATCGTGCTATTTGTAGGCATATATTATGGGTCTCAGATACAAATATATAAAAACATGTCTATGATGTGTTTTGCTCAAAATACAAACAGATCATGCATTTCAGAAATCCCTCATTTCCCTCTATTCCAGCTGTTTAGAGAAACGCGGATTTTGGGTCCTTAGCTTGAGCGGAGCTAATGCCTGATCAGAATTCTACCGGAGATAAAGTTAAATTCTGCTGTGATAAAACACCATCCTGTTCTAAATCACATCAAGGATTATCTCTGAAACAGTATGGAGCTCAAATGCTTTTTCTCTTATGGGTTTATCACAAGGTGAGTTCTTTTTTTATTTCCTGCTTTTTAAACACATGTGCTCTCCAGTACAGGTTAGCTCTGAGTGTTAGCGAGGCTAATGTATTGATTGATTGATTGATTGATTGAAAAGTTTATTAACAGCTTGTATATTGGGTACAGTACAGTACAGCTCAAAACATACAATTGTTAAGGGGATGCAGACCAGAGAAAGACTTTCGTCTTGTTTACATCAGGGTCCCCCATTTCCAATTCATCATATCATTTAAGACATATAAGACATATTTGACATACAGATGGCTTATTTACAATTTACATACAGGTGGTTTTTTACATACAGATGGCTTATTTACAATTTTCATTTTAGATTTCGTTCTAATACATCCTAACCGGACATTTAAGACATACCAAGTCTACAGATATACAGTTAGTAACAGAGTCTAAAATGCGAGTATATACATAGATGGGGGGGGGAAGCTGTCCATTGTACGACAGGTTGAGATTTGTACCATTACCGGGGCCAGTTTTGCAATGCTCTCCCCCGAAGGTGCTCTTTAAGAGAGGTTTTGAAGGTAAGTATAGTTTTACTTTCCTTTACAGTTGTGGGAAGAGCGTTCCACCTTGATGTGGCATAATTGCGAAACGTGTATTCCCCCTTTTTTGTGCCAAATCTGGGTTTTACATGATTTGTGGAGCTCCCTCTGGTGTTATGATCATGGTATTCCTTGACCTTTGGGAAGAATTTTGACATGTACAACAAACAAACAAAGATTACTTCCAAAACACGTCAGGCATTGTTTCTGATAGCAACTCTCTTTGGGTCCACCATCCGATTTGACGTCATACCGGCAGCAAATCTGTATCCGCTCGTTGTACCCCCGTTTTTAAAAGATGTGGGTACGGAGGAAAAGAGAGGGTTTTATTTTCTGACGCTGCTTGAGTTCCCCGACACACCGGGGACACATAGTGATTTAGAAAAGACATCAGAAAGTGCATTTTGCAGGATAGGTCCCCTTTAAAGTAATAGCTTTGTGCTTTTATTTTGTAGTATCTACATAAACCGGAAACAGGTACGACGTGAGGAACAACAATTATAAGAACAAATAAACAAAACTAATTAAAACACAAATGTAAATACTGTATAACATATTCAAACAAGTACTTGGAACAAACAAATCATTTTAAACACATTTTAAAACATTTATGAATCGTGGTTCCGTGCTTTTATTTTGAAGTACACAAACCGGAAACACATAAGGCGTTGGGAACGAAACAAATAATTTAAACAAAAATTTAGAAAACAAAAAACACATTCACACAAAAAAAGAACGTGGAAAATATTTCGTTTGTTTTATTATATTAATTATTTAAAAATAATATCCCACAATGGTTCCGTGCTTTTATCTTTTTTACGTAATCATTAGACAGAAACGACGTCACTTACGTAACCATTGAACAGAATTTACGTCACCACGTCACTTACGTTCAGATCCACAACAAACATGTCGGACGGTGAGTTTTTTGTTTCCATTGATGGAGTGTTTCAGAGTTTCTGTTGTATGTGTGTTTGTTTTCTGCCCGTTTCCCAGTTAGATGTCCTGTGCCAGAGGCTCGGGCTGAATCACAGGGTTCTTGTTCACTTGTTTAATGAGGTTTTATTAAGAAATCACGGAGAGCTAATGCGATGCTAAGCTAATTTACCGCCGGTTAAAAAGCAGAAACACTTTCCGTTACAAACACACGGTAATAAACAAACAGACATGTCACGTGTCTATCCTTTGGGTATCATATTTGTATTTGAAAATATGAAGTAGCTTTAATAGTGTTCTTAGTTTACTGTTATAGCAGACATCTATAGGTATTATCTCAGGATGAAGTGACTCCAGAATAAAGACCGGCTGTACATGTCACGGTCATTTGAATGATTTAGTCTTTACTGAACAAGAAGCATAATAAAAATACATCAGAAGAGAAGCTGACATATGAGGTTCATACTGTATACTGCAAGGCATTCTGGGAGTCTGAGTCTCTCACTAAAAAAGACTAAACTGTGAGACTTTTAAAAAGTTGTTCCAACGGCTTCTGTTCTCTCTCTCTCCTTTCAGATCACACAGACGCAGATCAGTCGATGGAGGGACACACTCCTGTGGGTCACACACACACACACACACACACACACACACACACACACACACACACACACACACACACACACACACACACACACAGCACCCTGTACTGTATGATATTGATATGTGTGAAACAGCTGATGACTGTGTGATATCTTGCTGCAGTCACACACTCGGGTTTCTGAAGAGAACACCAGAGTTTTAGCGACCATGAGACATATATTTACAGAGCTGGGAGACGGGGTGTCATCAGGGAAACACTGAGATACAAATGGTCAGATGATCTCATTATCAATGATCAGAAAACTCAAACATAATGAGAAAACCCGTAAGAAGTCCCAATGAATAGGTGTAAAGAAACACGGACCTTTTGAGATGGGAGGTCATTATTTTCCCCTTTTTGCTAGAAAAAGAGATCTCTTTATACGGGTGGATAAATACAAATAAATAAAGTGAAGACATGTTGTCCGTTACCAAACAAACAGCTGTTCTCAGGGTGGTTTTCTG